TGTTAAATATTTATTATTTTTTCAATTATGCGAGTGCATCTTCTGTTCTTTCCCTTCTGTGTTGTAGGTCAAAGCAACAAGTAACTCAATTTTAAACTTTAAAAAAAATTTTGAACTGCACAACATGATTAGCCGAATAATTATGTGCTATTTGGACAGTTTGAAACAATTTTACATAAAAAAAAAAGGATTCTTGGCTTGAAACTTTTTCTTTTTTTTTTTTTCTTTTTGGGATAGCAGAATAATGAAACCTTATTTATTTATTTAACACGTAGTAGTAGTATAACTAACAACCAATTGCAAAAGTTCTCCTTGCTAAAGATTTGAATCCTATGCAATAAATAGATGTCCTTTACATTAGTGAAGCAAGAAATTGGAAACCAAAAAATGCAAAAGAAAAAGAAATACTTGAAGGGCATCGAACCAAAATATTTGCTTTCTTGATTCTACACTTTTCTATATAGAAAACTTTGTAGCTGTTAGCTAAGAGCCAGAATATTTTCCTACTTTGTGGACGAAGGGAACAATAGCAGGAAATTACCTTCCAAAAGGAAAGTCAATTGGAGAGGCTATTTAGCTAATAGAATTGTGGTAACTTTCCAAATTTCAACGCATAATGTAACTTTTTCAACAAGGAATAAGCAAAAAGGATCCTTGAAAAGAAGAGATAATCTCCATCACAAATACTGCAAAATTTAACTTCAGAAAGTCATAATTTGAATATATTGAGGAATCGAACTTGTTATTGCATGAATTCTTGACATTGGTCAGAAGTTCAAGAGGCTCTGAGGCAAAAGAAGTGTGCATGACACCCTGCCTGAAAAAAACTATGGGGAAATCAACAGTTGGTGGCAAGTCCAGAAACAAAGAATTATTGTATGTTTTCATGACTTGGTTAGTGTTTTGTATTTTAATGCTTTCAGGCCATTATTCATCCTTGATTGAACTGACAATGAGTTCCACTTCGTTTCCCATCTCTGGAAAATCCACTTTTTCCCTTCCAACTAAGAGTTTATTTCCCATCAGAAAAACCAAGGAAAATCTACCTGATGGTAAGAAAGATGGTGTACTCGATTCGTGCTCAGGTCGATATATTTATATCCATGATCTTCCTAGTAGATTCAATGTTGACATAATCAAGAACTGCAATTCCTCCCTGATTAAGTGGTTTGATATGTGCAAGTGTGTGATGAATGGTGGTTTCGGTCCTCCGGCCACGAATTCCAGGGACATCCTGCAAGAACGTAGTTGGTATGCAACAGATCAGTTCTCGCTGGAGGTCATTTTTCACAACAGAATGAAGAAATACCAATGCTTAACCAATGAATCATCGTTGGCATCTGCAATTTATGTGCCATTCTATGCAGGTCATGATGTTAGTCGGTATCTTTGGGAAAGTAACATATCCTCGAGAGATGCAGCTGGTGTTGATTTTGCTGACTGGATCAATAAGCAACCTGAATGGAAAACCATGTCGGGAAAAGACCATTTTTTTGTTGCAGGAAGGATAATTTGGGATTTCAGGAGAGAAACAAACAAGAGTTCAGATTGGGGTAATAATCTAATGCTATTGTCTGAAGTAAAAAATATGACTGTCCTGACAATTGAATCAATTCCCTGGAGCCCTACTGACATTGCAATTCCATATCCTACTTATTTCCATCCAACCAGTCAAGAAGAGGTAGAAGCATGGCAGAAGAAGATCAAGCAGCAGAAAAGGCCGTACCTTTATTCTTTTGTTGGTGCACCACGCCCTAATACGCAAGGTTCAATTCGGGGTAGGATTATCGAGCAATGCTTGGATTCGAGAGAGAAATGCAAGTTGTTGAATTGCAATATCAGTTCGAATGACTGCTATGATCCAGGTCGTGTGATGGAAATATTCCTGAACTCCAGATTCTGCTTGCAGCCTACGGGGGATTCGTACACTAGACGATCAACTTTTGACTCAATCTTAGGAGGCTGCATTCCTGTTTTCTTCAATCCGGGAGGTGCATATGGCCAATATGTATCATATTTGCCGAAGAATCACTCAGATTATTCGGTCTTCATTCCAGAGAGTGATATCAGAGATGGCAAGACAAGCATAGAAAAGGTATTGCGAAAAAAATCAGAACAAGAAGTTGTAAAGATGCAGGAGGAGGTAATAAAACTGATCCCCAAGGTCATATATGTGGATCCAAGTTCTGGATTGAATACTTCTGAAGATGCATTTGACATAGCAATCAAGAAAGTCCTTGAGAGAGTTAATACAACTAGAAGAGGCATGAAAACAGTTTAGAACTTCATATTCTCATTTTCAAGAAGAGTATAGTTTACTAACATTTTGTTTTTTTGGGGAAAGATGTTAATAGTTATTAATTTTATGCCAAAAAGAAAGGCAAATGCATTATTTTCATAAATAATTCGAAATATTGGGATTATTGGAGAACCAAAAGAATTTATTACTTTTTACAGCCTTTTTTTTTCTTTTCTGAGATTTCTTGATGAAGGTATTTGTGTTATAAAATATTGAATAGGGAACGGTCCCGTCTATACCCACAAAACAAAATAAAAAAGTTTCTTTTCCACCTCAGAAAAAAGGGGTGATCATTTAGTTGGTTTTCTTTTTTATTTTTTGGAAACCTTTTACATAATTATTAACACACTGTAATGGCAAAAACAAAATCCATAACAAACATAGAACGGATTCTAATATTTAATATGCAATGGCCAATATTTTAAGAAAAGGCTAATTTGTTCATGTTTGAACCGGAATCGGACTGAAACTAGCCCAGCAATTGCTTGAATCGGAATTGGAATAAGATTTTGGAAATCGGAGTCGGAATCATAACCGTGACTAAAGATTTAGGTTTAGGTTTACCAAAATCTTGAATTGGAACAGGAATCGGCGATTTATAACCCGCTCAAACAACCTAAAAAAATATTTACTACTTAAATCTATTTGGCCGATTTAGAGTTTAATATTAATAGTTAGTATCTAATACTAGCAACTCCAATTCTAATCCAGCAACTTGTTGTCCTATTTTATTAGTAAGTCAATATCTCATAACTAATTTAAATCCAAAATCAATCTAATCTAATCAATAATGAGATTTTTTCCATAAAATTTGTATCATTGTATCATTTTCTCTTTTTGCTTGCACATGATAATACAATAGAATTTTTTCTTTTAACATTCATTGTCATATTTTCTAAGAATTAATTTTATAATAACAAGGGTTTAAGCAAAACTAAAAGAATTGGAACCGTAATCAGAAGAAATCGAAATCGTAACCGAAATAGAATTGAGACTGAAACCGGAGGTTCAAGAACTGTAATTGTAATCGTCCCTATAACAAGGCTCTACTTTTAAAAAAAAAAAAATTGGAGCCATCGATTTTTAAATTGAAACTGCACGATTTTGAATCTGTAGTCGTGTCTAATTTAAAATGTTGTATCGATGTAGACCAAAATTACCATTGATAGTTATTGACACTTGACGCCTTTCTTACCCATCAGTTAAGCCCAACTTTGGGCCTAAGATGATGTTCACATACAACTAGGGTTAAAAAAAAAAAAAAAAAAACCTAGAAACCCACACTCTAGGTGGGCTTGACTAGAGGTGTCAAATAAAATCATTTAATTAATTTTACCCATACCCGCCCATTAATAACTGAATATGGGTACATTAAATTTTTATATATGGATATAAATAGGTTACCCAATTATACCCATTTAATTGGGTAACCATCAAACCCAATTAACCCATTTAACTTACATTCCCAAACTTCTTTGTATTTTCAGTTTTCACCGTCAATCTTCTTCTCCTCCCCACCAGCAAGCCCACTGCTTCCCCCCCCTCTTCCTCCAGTGTTTGATTACCCTCTCCTTTCTCCCCGTCTCTGCTTAATAGAAGGTTTTTGCCCTTTCCATGTCCGATTCCTGAGCTGATTGATGGATAACTTTTCTAATGCCATTAGATCCTGGAAACGCCACTTATATTTTTTAGCTCTAGTTTTTTTCCCTTCATTTGATACCATTGCATTTCTTTGCTTAATGTTCACAGGAATCTAAATATTGTGAGAAAAGTTGAAAAGCTTTGGGAGCTTGAGATACAAGAAAATTAGAATCAATCTTCAATTTTGTTTGGATGGAATTGTTGGCATAGTATTTGGACATGGGAGGAGAGAGACAGAGCATATGCTGCAGATCCTGCACCCCGGATGCAGTTGGTGGTATCTGTAGCATTGTGGAGTCTACAGGTAAGGCTTTCCTGCTTAAATTTGTGGTGGGATGCATACTTATTGGCTGTAGTAGTATTTGAATGGGATCTTAATTTTGCTGGTTCTATGACAACTCTACTGGGAAAGTTTTACTTGTTTGCATTCGTCTCCTTGCAATCTGTGAAGCTGTTTGTTATTATTGTTCCCAGTAATTGCAAATTTGAAAAACTTCCAGTGCCTAGTAATTTCTTTTTAGTCTATTCGTAACAAATTTGTTCAGCACTACTGGTAACAATTTCTTGAAGGCTACAAAATCTGCAATGACGAGGACAAGATTGTTGAAACTTGGGCTTGGCTATCAAGTCATTGAAACTGGCAAGTGCAGTCAGCACAATTAAGTCTGAGAGGGCAGGGCAGGACAAGTTATATGTAAGGCTGAGAGTCTTATATGATGGTATGGTGAATCTGTTGAAGCAGCATTTGAGGCTAAGAAATACACTATTTTGTGAGGGTGAATTTTTTCATGTAAGATGCAGTGCACATGTGCTAAATTTGATTGTCCAAGATGGTGTCAAAGTTATTTCCAAACCAGTCTCAAAGATCCGAGACTATGTGAAATATATCAGAGCTAGTGAATCAAGAAAGTTGAAATTTGCAGAGTGTATTGTTCAAGTTTCTTTGCCATGCAATAAGAGGGTGCATCAAGATGTCCCAACCAGATGGAACTCTACATTTGTGATGCTGGATAGTGCACTTGAATATAAGCTTGCCTTTCATCAGTTGCACGTGGTTGATCGCAGCTTCAGCAGATTTTACCCAACTGAAGAAGAATGGCTTAGGGTGCAGAAATTTACAACACTACTAAGGCCTTTTTATGACCTGACCACCCTTTTTTCGGGGACTAACTATCCAACTGCAAATTTGTATTTTCATGGTGTCTGGAAAATTCAAAAAGTTATCACGGAAGAGGTCAATAATTTAGACATTGAAGTGAGTGAAATGGCCAAGAAAATGAAACTGAAATTTGAGAAGTACTGGGAATGTTATAGCTTGGTTTTGAGTTTTGCTATCATTTTGGATCCGCGCTTCAAAATGGATTATGTGGTGTATGCTTTTGATTATGAAGAACGTGCTAAGGAAGTTCGGGATAAATTTTATTTACTATTCGAGGAGTATGAGAATACTTTTGATGGTGATTTGCTAGATGGATCAATAGCAGGCTGCTCTGGTGGTGATTTGGGCAATGACAATGATGATTTTGCTGAATTTGAGAGTCAACAACATGCAAACAAGAGGAATAAGTCACAAGTAGACTCTTATTTGGATGATACTCGACTCCTTTCAACTCAAGAATTGGATGTTCTTAATTTTTGGAAAGAAAACAAAAATCGGTACCCTATTCTTTCTTTGATGGCACGGGATATTTTAAGTATTCCTATCACTACAGTGGCCTCGGAATCAGCTTTCAGTATTGGTGGTAGAATTGTGGGTAAATTTCGTACTTCGCTCCTACCAGAAAATGTGGAGGTCTTGTTATGTACTAGGGACTGGTTATATGGAGTAACAGGTATGTTATACTTAACCTTTTTGTGCACATGATCTTGTATTTTACTTTTTTAGTCACTTATTGAACTTTACTTTTGATTTCAGCTTCTGAAGATGAAGAAGATAGAGAAAGACTGAGTATTGACTTTGCACCTTTAGTTGGTAAACTTACTAACCTTCATGTTGGCGGATTCCAACAATGAGCTGGAGGAGTTTTATGCTATGCTATGCAGTTGTACGAAGCTTGTGCTTGTTAAGTATCTTGATAGAGTAGCTAGTTGTGGGAATTCAAGTAGCTATTGTTTATTCTGGTAGTGAAGGTTGGCAAAAAGTTTTGGCCATGTAACCTTTCACTGTTCTATCAGTTATTTCTTTTTATTGAAAATTTATCTTTGTTTGTATGCTAAATGAAGTGATTGCTAATCCTTATCAGGATTTTTAACTATTTTTTATGTTAACTAATTTTGTTTTATTTATTATATTTATTTGTTGATTTTGTCTTATCGCTTTATTTCCTCGTAATTTATTAATTTGATCATTTTTTAGCATCACTAATTTATGACAAATTTTAGTCTCCTTTCTTACCTTTTCAAAATGAAATTTTAAATTTACACACGAAAAAATACTAGGGGTTCAAAGTTTTGGATTAAATTTTTATGTTAACTTTCATATTATTTAGTCCAAATTTTTAGATTCTCATTGTTCAATTATTAAATAATATGTAATTTTGCGACATAGCACGCGGATGAAAAAAAAATTGATAATTAAACTTATTTGGCATAATAAGTAAATATTTAAAATTAATGATGGGTGTAAAATGGTATAAATTGATAATTTAGTTTGCAAAATGAATTTATATGAGTTTGTAAAAAATTAGAATAAATGGATTATAAATGGATAATTGAGTTACCCAACTCATTTTTTGACTTACCCATTTATACCCATCTAATTAAATGGATATAAATGGGTTGACTCACTTATATCCATTACCCATTTTACCCAATCCAAACCCGCCCAAATCACCCATTTTGCCACCTCTAGGCTTGACATTGGTGACCACCATTGACCAGAACATACTTCCAAGACTCAGAACTATCATTTACAGAGGTCCTTAACTTTGGTCACCATTATAGACGAGGATAGGGGTTGGCATGGGTCACATACCCCATCAAATACACTATTTGACTGACCTAACTTACATCTTGCGAGTCAATCATTTTTTTATCTTTATCCGTCCTGCATATCAGATGATACCCGATTATCGGATACCTACTGAAAAAAGGTCGGGTCAATAGGACCTACTCATTATTTATCTTTTTTAAAAACGATTTATATTGATTTAATTTTATATTTTACATATTTATCTAAAATTTAATAAAGATTTTTTCTCCAAAAAAAAAGTCTCATGCCAAGAAACAAACATGAAAAAGAATACAAGGAAAAGGGAAAAAAATTAAAAGATTTCAAAATCAATGACATTTAAAATAGGTAGCACCTTTTTAAAAATATATATATTTTCCATATCAATTAAAATCTTTCCTAAAAGACATAAGATCGTTATTTCTATAAATAAATCTTGTAAACAAACTATAGACTATAGTCTCTCATACTTGTAGTATAATTTGTTCAATGAAATTACTTAGTTAGAACTAAAAATATTATTTTGTAATATGTATATAAAAATAAATTAATAATATATATATATGGAACGGATCTGGGCGGGTACCTGCCGGTACTCAATCTTATGATTCTAACCCACTCACAAGTAAATGGGTATCCGACTCTCTTTTGATTCGGTCAATTAATGCAGATTGGATACTCTATTTTTTGGATGGCCTACATATTAATGAGTATCCGACTCTCTTTTAATCCGATCAATTAATATAAATTGGGTACCCTATTTTTCGAATTGGACAAGATTAGATATGACGAGTTTTCGAATTAACATGTACTTTTACTTGCTCCTAGACTAGACATGCCTTCGAGACTTAATATAGTAGTTTACCGGGAATTTTATGGATCATCTATCAACACAATTCTCACATCGGTAATGCGATTCGAACACTATTGAAGGGAACCACTGAAAATGACAAGCCACAAACAGTGGCTGGTGAGAGGCAAGAAAATAATGGTAGCCAAATTTGACAGTGACAAGCCACAAACAATGACAGTAGCCAAATTTGAACAGTGACTTTTGTGAAGAAATAATTGGCCCTTATTAATTGACCTAACTTGCGTTGGCTAAGACTTGTGTGTTATTTCCTGGAAGAAAAACTTTAAGTCCAAATTTAACCAACTAAGGCCTCCTGTGAACTCTTGGCCTGTTAGCCTCTTTCCTTTTAAACCCAATATTGGCCCCTGTTGCTGAATTCCTCTCCAGTTTCCTCTTCTAAGCAAAAAAACTTTTAATCTTCTAATACATCTTTTAACCTAGAGCAAAGAAACCAATAGAGATTCGTCCATCAGATGCTAATCATCTCTCCTGACAGTGTCACTAATCTTGACAGTTCATTCTTTTTTTTTCTTGCCGCAACGATAATATTTCCATAATATACTCTATCCGATTTTAAAAGGAAAGGAAACCTAATCGATAAGAAACATCATCGAAGGAAACTATTAAAAATAACATGTCACAAATAGTGACCGATGAGAGGCAATATTTGAATTATTGATCTCTTACCCACGACCAGGACTTAAAATCTTGGTGGTGACCATTGACAGTTCATTTAACCACTCCAAAGTTATTCTTCCATCCTTAAACCAGGATTAATGAAGTGGATCTGTGCTTACCGTAGGAACGTCCTCAGAGATGGACATGTATACTGATGATTAATGCAGTGGACTTGTGAGGGAAATGAACATTGGAAGCCACACGCATGAATTAAGCGTAGAGACGAATTGGTTTCGGGAATAATTAATGTGCTAGAATTCTTTGAGAATCGAAATTTTTGTGAATTTTTGTAGAATTCTTTATAATTTGGAAAGACAACTTATATGGTCTATACAAAATTTTAAATGACTATTGATTTTTTAACTTTAGACAATATAAATATTACTGTAAGTTCATAAATTGGGCATTCTATTTTAATGTTTAAACAACAGTTACATATTTAAGTTAGAATTACTAAAAGTAATAATACATATTTATGTTGGAATTACCTAAAAGAATGACTGGAGTAAATGTTAGTTCTTTTCTGAATTTGATAGTAAGTTTTATTTGTTATATTTGATAAATTGTTTTCATTTTGTTGATACTGATTTGAAGGATTTCAAATATTATTTCTTTATTAACAATAATCATTTCTAAGTGTGGTATTGTGTTAGTATGTTAAGTTTTGTTAATATTTTTGGAAATGTTACTCATTCATATATGCCTACATGATAAGTATGTAATTTCAAATTGTGCTAGTATTTTGGATGTTGTTAATATTTTGAAAATGTAACTAACTCATAATTGCATACATGGTAAGTATATAATTCAAAGATTGAAAGTTATTTATCTAATTAAAAATAAATCAAAATATAAGAAAAAATGATGGGAAGTTGGGAGCTCTTTAAAGGGGTCTACACTAAAATTATAAATGATTTGTGTTATTAGTTTGTTATTATATTTTTTCCAACAAACGTAATAGTTTGTTATTACAGAATCGTGGGAATTGTAATTAAATTTTATGTTATCAATCTGAAATTTTGTAGATATGATTTAGATAAGTCTTGCATAAATTTGAAACTGTGAGTAAAGGTCAACTAAACATAGGGAGGATTTGGAAATAGTGGGAAGTTAGTTTGCGTACCGGTAACAAACAAAAGAATTTGAAATGGTTTGATTGTACCAAATTGTGGAGCCAATATGTGTGAATTAAAATAAATGTAAAATTCTAGGAAAAGGGATTCGGATTTTGGAGATGTGTGAAGGTTTCTAATAAAAAACCCTCCCTCTAATACATACATATATATATATATATATATAAAGATAAGACAATAAGTAAAATTCTCTATTTGTATAACAGAATTGAAGGAAAAAATTTGTTATTTTGCATTTTTACGATAGTCATGCATTGATGTTTATCAGCTTGTCAAACCATTTGTTTAAATTTATAAAATCTTATATACAAAAAATTTTACAAATGACAATTCATGCTATTTGTCATTTGATCTAAGGAAAACATTAAACTAAGTTGGAAAGAATTATTGATAAGTTGATTAAACTAAGCCTTTTCTACCTAAAAGAAATGTTAAAATAAAGATAGCTTTTTTGATAAGGTATTTTAAGAAAAAAAATTTCCCACCTAAAATATAGGGATTTAACATGTAAATTAAACAAACTATAATCATTAGATGACATTAATTGAAATTAATTTAAAAATAAAAATAATTCAAAATCCTTGAGAAACAACACACATTAAAGTATATATATGCTATTTGTCATTTGCAACTAAGGGAAACGTTAAAAGTAGTAAATATAGTAAATTTTACTTAGAAAAAAGCTTATTGATAAGTTGGTTTATTGATAAGCTTATTGATAGTAAAATAATTCAAGTTGGATAGTGAAATTATCTCAAATTATATTTTACTTTCATCATAAACACATTTTCTAACCACTTTTTTATATTTCCAATCACTTTTTTATCTCACATCACAAAAAGTGGTTCAGTAATTATTCCAAATAATAACATATCCAAACAGACTAGTAAATTACTAGTATAATAGATTTCCTCGTATTTGTCCCATTAAAATCTTCACACGACTTTCATTTTTAAATTTTTTTTTTTGCTTTGGTCCAGACCGTTTCTCTCTCCACTACCACTATTCTCCCGCATGTGAGCACAATTAATGTTCTTAACACGTGTCTCGCTCACATTGTGCTCCTACGTTGGGCACCGTCAAAGCATGCCTACCATAGAATGAATTGTCTGTGAACTGTGATAAATTACCAAAGGGAAAATGGCCAGTTTCGTCTCTAAACTTTTTTCTAGAGTCGATTTAGTCCCTAACTTTTATTTCTGGCCAATTTAATACATAAACTTAATTTTCGAATCCAATTAAGGAATTCTGTGACGGCGCCACCACCTAAAAGCAATTTATCTCCTAATTTAATATTAAACAAGGGCATTTTTGGAAACTTTAAATTATCTCCTCTTCATTGTCAACCTCCGTCACCAGCCACCCACCTCCTCTTCCTCCTCTTTTCATCCACCTTTGAGTTTACATTATTGTAATTGAGAAAGTACAAGAGGAAATCTGTAAATGCAAGCGAGTGGGTTCTCCAATATTCCAGCCCTCCATTTCTGAAGAACAAAAGTTGCACGATGTTTGAGGAATCTGTGTCAATCAGTATACCTTCGATCTGGGCATCCATGAACAGTTGGTTTACTCCTGCTGTTCTCTTTGTTCTCCTCAATCTCATGATCGGTATCATTGCAATTACTTCGACTTTAGCTAGCCAGAAACTGCACCACAACCATCAGCACCAGCAAAACTCCCAAAATGATCTTCATCCTCAACAACCCAAGCTTGCTAGATCACCTTCTGTTCTCCCACGTTTGAGGTCCATAAATTTCTACCACTACAGATCCCATGTTCAATTGCAAACCATTTCAAAACCACCCCAGATTCAGACGCCCATTACGGTTTTGAATGAACCCATCAATCCCAAAACCTTGGAGAGTCTCACTCCCAGTACATTTTTGAACAAGCCCATCAACCACAAAACCTTGGAGAATCTCACTCCCAATACATTTTTGAACAAACCCATCAAGAGCAGCCAGCGCTGTTCTTGTCTTGCTTCGGCATTCGGCATTCGGAAAGACTTGATACGGAAAGACTTGTCTTGCTTCGGCTTCGGCACATTCTTGTCTTGATTCGGCATTCGAAAAATTGTGATTCGGCACCTTCTTCTTGTCTTGCTTCTGCTGAAGCCTCTGTAGCATGCAAGCAATGAAAGACTAAGAAGGAATAACCCCACAACCACAGGCCAATCGGCTGGGAAAGGCAGCTAACAAAAGCAGCAGCAGCTTCCAGTCAAGAGGTCAGGTTGGGCCCAACACTAACTACTATGCAGGGTGATCGCTGCTCTCTTGAACTGTGCATCCATTTGATGTTAGATGAAAGTACTTGATCTCCTTAGACATCACATCTTTGGAGGGTTAACGGGAAAGAGGGGTGGCTGAGAAAATTAGTCGACAAGAAAGGAAAGGAAGGAAGGGGAGGCGGTGGCGGTGGCGGTGGCGGGAAGGAGGAAGGAGGCAGAGGAAGAATTAAGAAGTTAATTAAAAATATTAAAAATCCCTTCAAAAAGTTTTAAATTTAAAAATACCCCAAATACTAATAATTTTTTTAAGGATAATTTCATATACCTCCCCTGAAGTTTCTGACAGTCTCACTCTCCTCCCTTGTGGTTTCAAAAATATCACAAACCTCCTCTGTCAAAATTTAGGTCCCATTTCTTACATCATCTTGGCCAAAAAGACTTAAATACCCTCACAAGTCAGCTAATATTTCGTGATTATCAGGACAAATACATTCCAACTCACGTAATTACTTTTTTTTACGCTATATCTAATCTCCCTTTTACATGTATACATAGTCAAATAACTAATACCTAACATGATGTACATTTTTTTTAACACCTAACAATTCCAAATTTATGCGTACCATTACACTACCTTTTATAGATATACACAGTCAAGTAACTAACATTTAACATAATGTATATATTTGTAAACTGATTGTATCTTTTAGATCACCCCGTGTAAGGTGTTTATAGGCAAATTAATATTAGTCATATAGATAAAATTACATACCCATTGTAGCTTGTAAGGAGATGCACAAGTGGGTTAAAGCACCAATAACCATTCCAAATGTATACATACCATTGCACTATGCATATTACTGCGATGACTAATTGCAATATGTATGTAAACAAATAACTGCATGTTCAACAATTTCTATGCATCGTACTTGGTCGATAACACGGTGTACATTATTTCAACCAGATTGTACATTCACTAAGTATTTATATACATGCTACTTATTGAAATAAACTACCTCTCTATTAAATATTTAATGCACTCTCATAAGCACTAATGGTTGATTTAATATGCAATTGAAACAAATAACCATCTAGTAAAAGTTTTTGATATAATATTATTGATGAATAACATATTGTATCTGAAATTATCCCTTTTTTCTAATTTATTTTTTATTTTTATTAGTTTTCATTATTTCACTAATCAGGGGCATTTCTGGAAAAAAAATTCCCTCTCTTTCCTGAAAACACTTTTTTATGTTCACTTTTGACATCATAGACTAATTTTGTTATAAAATCCTAAATCTCAGGGGAGGTTTGTGATATTTTTGAAACCATAAGAGAGGAGAGTGAGACTGTCAGAAACCTCAGGAGAGGTTTTTGAAATTATCCCATTTTTTTAATTTACTCAGTTTGATTACGCTTCATACCTGAAGTTTCAAAAATGCCTTTGTTTAATGTTAAATTAGGAGATAAATTGCTTTTAGGTGGTGGCTCGCTACATAAGTTCTTAATTGGATTCGAAAATTAAGTTTATGTATTAAATTGGCCAAAAATAAAAGTTAGGGACTAAATCGACTCTAGAAAAAGGTTTAGGGACGAAAATGACCATTTTTCCGATTACCAAATCCAAGTCACAAAAGTTGTTGTCCTCCAAGAATTGTGGACACGTTAACATTGTTGTCAGATGTTCTTGCACCAGATTCAAGAGGTTGGACAATGCGGGACATTACCCAGTGGGTAATAGGAGGAGAAAAATCTTCACGTTTCAGCATCTTATTGGCCAGGACTTGAGGTAATTCTTCCACAACCATAAAAACCCAAGAATTCACGCTTTTCACTTTTGCCGTTCATTTCACATAGTTCATTCAGTCCAATCTGCAGACTATGGAGAAACCCTCTTCATCTTCTACCTCAGAACCAGCAGCTCAACAAATCTCAGCCATTTTTCCTGATGAAGTCATCATTGAGATCCTCACATGGCTTCCAGTCAAGTCAATATTGAGGTTCAAGTGCGTGTCAAAGTGTTGGCTTTCCTTTATCTCTAGTCCACTGTTCATCAGGACCCACTTGTTAAAATCTGTTAACAAGAGTGACTATGATCAACATAGGCTCCTTTTACGTACTAGAGAGGAGTTGGCAGAGGATTTCGTTAGGTTCAACCTCAAGAACTGTGATCTTTCACCTGTCTTGTGTAATGCACCCATTGTAGAGGCGACTAACCTGTCTGATTCTCTGGGCCGTGGTGGAGATGTAGAGCGTGTCGAGACTGATTTTAGGACGGATAATTTCCATGATGTGCAAATTGTTGGTTCTTCTAATGGGTTGATTTGTGTGACTGTATCTGGAGATGTTCTTTTGTGGAACCCATCCATTAGAAAATTCAAGAAATTACCCGATTTTGGTCCTAAACCAGATGATGATGATGATGGTTATTTTTATGTGTTTGGGTATGATGAGTACGATGATGATTACAAAGTATTGGCATACTAACTGATGAAGATGGTGCTAGGGGTCTCATTGGGCAGACGTGTTTAGATCATGGTTCAAAGTCACGGTCGCGGTCGTGGTCGCGGCCCGGAAAGTTTCACATCGGTCTCGGCATATCGGTCGCGGTCTCGGTGAAACGCAAATTTTAAAATATTTAATATTCTAAAAATTGTTAATAATATAAAAAAGTATGCTAAATAAAAATAATTAAAAAATAGCAAAAGAAAAGGCCAAGTCAATCCGTCACGGTGTGACTCGACTGATTTCTCGTCCTGATTCGGGATAACTCGGAGTGACTCGGCCGAGTCAATCCGTCGCGGTGACGACTCGGCCGATTTCTCGGCGAGTCAAGTATTTCGGTATCGTTTCGTCACGGTATCGTATCGGTAGGGGTCGAGACGGTGACGACTCTGCCGAGTCGTCTCGGTCTCGGCCAAGACTTCGAACCATGGTTTAGATGTGTATAGTCGCAATGCCGATGTTTGGAGAAGGATTGAGGATTTTAATAGTGATATTTTCTATCATGGGTTCTGTTTGGTGAATGGGAAGCTTCATTGGAGCACATCTCCTAGATTTGGTCGATGGGGGAAAATACTTAGTCTTGATTTGGCGAATGAGACATATGGAGAGGTTGAACAGCCAAAATACGGGGAGGGAACTTTTGATTGGACTCTAGAAGTATTAGGTGGATGCCTTTCCATTGTCCGTTATTATCGAAGTAGTCGTGTGGAAGTTTGGATTTTGAAGGATTATGGTGTCAAGGAATCTTGGACTAAAGTGGTTTTGATTTCTAATTTTAGTGATCCTGGCTATTTGTGTAGCTGCAAACCAGTGTTCCAATCAAACGATGGTGAAATTCTGTTTTACTACTTATCAAACCTGCCAGGTTTGATGCTTTACAATCCAAAAAGTAATTCATTGATGCATCCTCATATTACTAAACTGGAAGTTCTTGTCGGAGTGAACATGTATGTTGAAAGCTTAGTTTTGCTTGATGACCATGATGGAGGAGAAAGGCGCAGACTGTGAATTGATAGAAGAGCTGGATGTCTTAGTCTGCTGCATTACTTGTAAGTGTTGATTGACCTTTTGTTCTTCGGTTAGATAATATTCCTTCCTAATGGTCTATGCTATTTGTTCATGAATGAAGACCAATTCTGAAGATACTTGTAACATATTTACCTGGTGTTAAGTCAGTCTAAGTTTCAAATCAAATTTTAAATACTGAGAAGGAAATTACAAGAGATACAGTGTATTCAACTCTGCAGTTTAAAAACTTTGTATTATGCCTTGCTCTGCAATTCTTTTTTGAAACTAAATGAGAGACAATGCAACTGTTTTAACTTCTGGCCCTTGTTAGACCTGATATGGCTAGTCTAACCATCAATGAGTTTTTTTTTCTTTTTATGGAAATTTTTTGTGGATGTAATATTGGTGGTGCTTAACATGTATCTGGTTACCGCATGTTGTCTGAACATGATGCGGTACAGGCTTAATTTCCTAATTTTCTGCATTGAAGGAAAATAAATTGGTAAGTATTCATAATTAGTGCATATAAAAAAATTGATTCAAATTGAGAAAGTTTGGTTTTTCAGTTCATCTTTTGGTTTAGATCATTTAGACTGAAGTTGAAGAAACTTTGTTGTTGAGCAAAACAACAGAACTTAAACATGAGTATCTCTTGTTAATCAGCCGATACAAATTTGGATTTTTCATGACTTGTTTTACTTGTCAAAATAAGTGGCGGATTCAATAGCAATCTAGGAACGATATCCATAAGCACTGTTAACCAAAGAGTCGGGCACAAAAATTTTTTTTTGAAGCATTTTGTAGGTGTTCTGTGACTCCAACTTGCATTGTTTTGAAAGTACTCATCTCCCTCTTTTCTTGAATAAAACAAAAGAAAACAATGTGATGTCCTTAAAGATTCTGCATTACATATGAAAATGCATTGCATTGGACTTTTAAAGAGTGTCTCATGTAATTTCCATATGAGTGATGTCTCATAGCTTCTTATAAATAACGAAATTCTAGGACTTGTTTTATATGACAAATTGTTAATCGAATTGTACTTGTTAGATGGTCATGTTTAGATTAGCTTCATTAATAAGTGAAAGCTATTAGCTTTTGTCGCTTCTCAATATGAAAGTGTTATATTGGTGGAGGAGTTGCAGAGGACATAGTCATTTAGTGCTAATTCAGGAATGATATTTGAAATATGATTTTGTCAAACATAATTGTAGATATAGGAAAATTAGAAAACATGGGTTTTTTGGTCACTTTGATCTTTGTGTTGGTCATACTTGATAAATGCAATTATACTCCTCATTTTTCAGATTGGATTGTCCTGAAATGTCAAAGCACTTAGGGCAGATGACTTAACTATAGAATTTTGAATAAACTATAGAAATGCTGAGAATGAGAAATAAATCATTTTGTGCTGACTCTGTCCTCCTAAGAATTTCTTTCCCCTCTTCATAAGTGTTCACATCAAGGCCATAGGTTCAGTTCTTGGTGCTTCTTCTCTGCATTTCTAGATAGACTCTTTGACTAATCAAACTCTAGTTGTTGCTTCATGTTGGTAGATTAATCAACCTAGAGATTGAAATCTTATGATCCTGATCATTCGTTGCAGCTCCTATTTTTCTATAGGCCACAGACAGTGGATGTGATCCACAAGGCATCCTTTAGGTTTCCTATATAATTTCTCCACTCCTGTTTAATGAGTTGTCAGAAAAGGACATTAATCTATGAAAAGACACTACTTTGATGCCCTCGTGCCCTGTATGTAGTATCTAGCTCATCTATAGTATAATTGTGGAAGAGTTTGTCATCAGGAGAGCTTTTCCTAGGAGTCAATTTGTAACAATTTTACTTTTAAATTCTGCTATTATCACAGAAAACTTAAGAAGATACTTCATGGGCGATTTTAGACGAGCGGTTTTTGTTTTGGTGATCATTTTCAGACTTAATGGAGACATTTGGTCTTATATCTGATTCTGCATGATATTGGCATAAACATAAAGTTTCAAAAATAGAAAGTGATGTAGAATGGATGACAGGTTGTCAGCCTGTGCAATAATAAAAACTTGCTCAAACTAAAAGTAATTTCTGTAAATAGTGGTGAGCAGGGTCGTATCCTCAGGGATTGGGTATATTCACTTCTTAAGAAATTCAAAGTAACACGGGGGGTGGTTTTATAGGAGCGACAACAATTAGATAATTTAAATAAGAAAATGAAAATGAATAACGAACTAGAGATTAAACCACAATTCACTGGACTCAGAGCAACAATAATTCAAGGCCTAAATCAATTAAAACAAGGAAACAATTAAAAATAAAATAAAGTAGGCAACTAAAAAGTCAAATGGCAATTCATTAAAATCGAGGTAATATTAATTAAAAAATCTGGCCAAGAAATAACTCCAGCAATGGTTCACCTAATTGATCATTGATGCAAAGGTAATTCCAATTATTTACTGATAAATAGGTTATAACTGCCAAACAAGCGATGACAGTTAACCCCTCCGTACTGTGTCGGTGATCAAGGTACGTCCGTTAATCACTGCTCTAATTGAAAAATAATCTTAGGTACGCCCGTAGAATTCAATTCCCCAATTGCCTTACGTATTAGAGGAGCTCTATTCTAACCAAATAACACACTACCAGGGTTATTTCAGATTAGCCCGCGTATCCTCCTGACACGAAGCTAATCGTGCCAGTTGTCACTATTTCAGGACAATTAAACAATTACGGATTTAATGTCCTAATTGACAATAGGTTACCAGATCAATTAATTATCCGGATCCAAGACAATCAATTAATTGAATAGCCATAAGCATAGCAATCAAGGAATATGCGAATACCAATAAATAAAAGGAAAATATTAAATTAAATCGATCTCATAATTTTTAGGTAACCCAAAGCATCCCTCGTTTCTTGACTAGAACGAGGAAATTAGTTCATATTTGATGAACTAAACCCACGGGAAATTTCAGCAAAAGTCACGGCCTTAGTCTGCATTTCAGGAACCCGCAATTCGTCGAACAAGTAGAGAGCAAATGGAAGTCACAGGTAACAATTGAATTTCTTAATTGTTTCTAGCATCTGTAGCGCAGGGCCACTCAAAGGAAACTAGAAGGAAAAGTCAAAGAAAGCAATTCTCCATTGCTCCTGCCATGCGCAGGATTCAAAAATAAAGAAAGAAAAGTCAAAGCTCAAAGCTAACAAATGCTTTCTCCTGACATCCGTGAGTTTCCAAAGCTAAGAGTAAGTCCAAGGAAAAAGTCAAGCCTTTCTGTCAAGCTAAAGACGAAAACTAAGAATAAAGCCAGCTGCTTCATCCGAAGTCTACAAGGGAAAAAGGTATGATCCCGAGCTGGAAAAAAGCCTTCCTTTTCCTTCTGCGCAATTCTTCTCTATATCGTAGTGCTCCTTGTGGCGGCTCCAGGGAAAAGAGCACTTCGACCAAAATGACCAAAGAGGGCTTGTGTCCCTTCTTCCAAAAAATACCCTCGCAAGCCTTCTATTTTATTCCTTACCCGATGATTGTCAAAATAGCAGTGTTTGTGATATTTTTTATCTACTCCCTGAAATAAGTGCAAATTACGGAAAGTGAGTAGAATCCAACATTTAATTCACATCGAGTCAGGTAATAGGGGAAATTAACAATAAAATAAATAATAAAATTGCAACCTATCAATGGAAGTCATGTGAGCTATCCCTTTACTAGAATAAGTTTAAATTAATGATAACATTAAAGTTGGGAGACCACTCTAATCGTTGCTTCCATATCAAGTTCGTTGATTCATCAAGTGTCGGAGGATGGGGAAGTATGCTTGTATTATGAATTATGAAGATAGATTTGCTGCTGCACCTGTGTTTTTTGATTATTCTTCCCATGTGTATCGCAAGCCTCACCAGGTGTTTAATGTGTGTGCTATAAAGCTCAAGCCAGTGATGATCAACACAAGCCTGACAATCTTCTTGTTTCCTTATTGTCGTTTGGAAGCAGGACTATAGAGGAAATGTGCTGGTGCATCCAGAGTAGTGCATGTTCCCAGGAGAAATAGGAATGGGAGATTATAGGTAGTAAGAGCAGCCTTCCTTGGCTTTATTAATCTGAATGGAATATAGCCTCCAATTATGCAGGCACTGTCTTTTTGAGTAGAAGTTTATGTACCTTTTATTTTTGAAAAAAAAGAAAGTAACATCATGGCCTATATGGAATTGACACAGCCTGTAATATTTGAACTCTGTAGTTTCTACTCTGTTGCATCTAATATTCTTGGTTTTATTCTATTTGCTCTCATCATTTAATTATTGACTCCTGAAGAGGTGATTTTTGGTGGGTAGTTGAACCGACCAGAATCAGGCTCCTCTGAGATGAATGAGATGTATCCTCGTGTCCGAAGTGAATGGCGGGGCTTCTCCCCTGGGATCACTCCGACGATCAAGTTAGTATGAGAACGAGGGAAAAGCAGTAGTATTGTCAAATGAACAGTATGCTTACTTGTTGGGAGTGTGTGGGGTATTTATAGAGTGGGAGTGGAGGTCAGGACGGAGGGTTCATGCTGGTGGGACCCATGTCCTGACATTACGGCTCTGTTCCCTGCCAGGAGGCCTGACTCTGACACTGTAGCCGCCTGGGCTGGATGACGGGGGTCCTGCGCAGTAGTCATTAAGATCACCCAGTGCTTTTCAGATAAAGCACTGGTTCTGGGTGTTGTCAGGGGTGTTGACATCATCAGCGTCCAGCCGAGGTGGTAGCCAGGGGTGCAGAGGTCATCCAAGTAGGAGACCATGGACCGAGCCGAGCTCAGGGTCCGGATCGGGGGATGACTGTGTTCGTGTAGGAGACGAAACGAGGTCACCTCGGCAACAAGGTACTGCCAAGGTGAGCACCCTCAATAAGCCCCCCAAGCCTATGGAGCTCCGGGCTAGGGAGGTACCGAGGCTTCCTTGTGCCGAAGTCATGAAGAGTCGGGGTCCCGAAACTGCTCCGGAAGATGAGGGGACGGGACACGTGGGCGAGTCAGTTGACAGGACGTGGTCACTGGTAACCGTCGCGTCGTGAAGTAGTGGGATGTTTCGTGCAGAGGGAGTGTCAGTTGAAAGGACGAGTCATTAATGAGGAGAGAGAGGGGCACGTCCTTTTGAATTCGAACGTGGTTGCCTTTTCGCATTCTTGCCGCCTCTTCGGATTCCCCCCGACTCCCTATAAATAGGGGGTCCTTTTCACCATATGGCCCATCACTTTCTTTTTCAATCTCAGACTTGTAAAAATCTTGAGCGTCGCCGAGGTCAGTCCTGCCAGCCGAGATATCAACCGAAGTCATCCACTTCGTCAGACTCCGTAGTCAACAGTAAGTATCTTTCTCTTCATCTCATCATTCACTCATGGCCAAAATGGCTAAAATCCACAAGAAAACTGTGAAACCGAGCTACCAGGCCGAGGAGGTGCCGGACACTTCGGAGGAAACGGCTTCGTCCAGCTCTGGGGGATCGACGTCCGATGCTGCGGAGGGTTCAGCCGAGGTGGAGATCGTCTAGGCAGCCTCGGTGTCAGAGTCATCCGAGATGAGTGAAGCGGGTTCCGAGGTTGTCTTCAATAACGAGCTCGGAGCTCAGATACCCCATGATGAGGGAGTACTGGAGCCAGTAGCTCCGAAAAACGCGGCCAATATTGACTTCGGCAAGATGCCGAAGTTCAGAAGTCGAGTGGGGGAAGACAGGGCTCAGAAGGTGATAAGAAAATACCCTTTCAGGCTGGGGTACATCATCACCTCGCCCGGACCAGATGACTCAGCCGAGAAGCCCCCCATGGGGACTGTGGCAGTCTACATCCAGCAGCTGGAAGCCGGGCTGAGGATGCCGACGTCGAGGTTCTTCAGGGACACTTCGCCACTTCGGCATGAGGATTACTCAGCTCGTCCCAAACGCGGTCCGCATTCTCGTAGGTTTCGAGATGCTGTGCCGACATCAAGAGGTGACCCCGACCGTGGATCTCTTCCGCCGATGTTACACCTTCAAGGCACATGGGACAGATAAGGGATGGTTCTATGTCTGCAACCGGAACAAAACCATCCCGAAGTTAGTCGTCGGCGCCCCCAGTTCAATAAAAAATTGGAAGCGTGACTTCATCTTCGTCTCGGCCGTGGACTTCCCACGGGGTTTTTGGTGGAGGCCCATCAAATCGAAGGCCGACGCCTCCTCGGGGGATCTCGAAGAGGAGTCCCTCCAGAAATTGCTGGGGTCCGGACTTCGGATCTTTAGCTGGGACCACCCCGAGGCCGTGCTGGTCGATGGGGGAATTAGCCGAGCTTTACTGCCTCCCAACAAGACTCCTTTCTTTTCCATTAAACTTAAGAAACCCTGTAATTTTTCTTTCATGGCCTTTTCTTTTACCTCGGCTATAGCAAATGATAATGTCTGTTTCTTGTGCAGTGACCAAATTATCCGACATCATCACCACGGGAGCCGAGGTGGCCAAGAGATCGAAGAGGAAGAGCTCGGATGAGACATCGGCACCTCCGCCAAAAAAGAAGTCGCAAGGGCAGTCTTCCAAGACTTCGGCGGAGAAGGGCACTCCCACAACGGCAGCCAAGAGCAGCTCGGCTGCTGCGGCCACAGGGTCCGCCTCTTCGGTGCCAGAAGGGGTGCCAATATGGGTGACCACGGCACGTCCACCTCTACATGGCCGAGGCAAACAGTTGAAGTCTCCGGTCAACGCGGTGACGGCGTCCTCACTATGGAACCGTTACCAAAGCCCCCCGGTGTTTTCTGGGAAAGAGAAATCTCACCCCGGCGAGCATTGTTGTCCGGATTGGTCGCTCAAGGTCAACGACCGATGCAGCCACCATCGGGTTGCACAAGACCTGGTGATGCAGTCCACCTTGCCGAGAGACTTGGATTTCACCAGGAAGCTGACTCCGGCCGAGATGCTCTAAAGCGTCATGGTGACCACGGCCTCTAACACAGCCTTTGTGGCCGAGATGGCACACCGGTACTGTGAGTTGCTTGAGGAGCAAGACACCGGCAAACTGCAAGATCAGATTGCCAAGCTGAAGAAAAAGCAGGTAGTGTCTGAGTCCGAGAAGTCCGAGCTTCAGAGACGGCTTCAAGAGGCCGAGACTAAGGAGGAGGAGGCCGATGCCACTATCAATAGCCTGAGTTCGGCTCTAGAGAGGAGCAGAAAAGGTCGGAGGAGGCGAACAAGACCCATGAGCAGGCTCTCGAGAGCGCGAGGACCTTGGCTGTAGAGGATTTCCGGAGGTCCGAGACCTTCATCGGGGATCTCGGCCAGCTGACGAGGCCGACCTTCATGCTAGGCTTCACGTCGGCTATTGATGATGCCGCGACTCATATACCCTCTGAGGCTTTGGAGTCCTTGAGGAACAGCGCCAACTATAACGAGGATTCCAAGGAGCTGTGTGATCGGATGGCCGAGGGCATTCAAGCCGGAAGGAACTTGGCCGAAGTCCAAGATGAGTTCAACAAATGGCTAGCTGAGCTCGACGAGGTCTTTGAGGAGGAAGGAGGAGAAGAAGTTGGGGGCGACGTCGGCGAGGAGGGTGCCGAAGAGCAAGAAGGAGAAGGAGAAGGGGCTCACCCCGACGGGGAAGAAGCCGGGGAGGCAACTGGCCAAGGGGGAACCGAGACGGAGTCTTAGCTCATAGGGCTTTATTTGTAAATCCGAGGTGGGAGGTGACTAGCATTACTCCTGACCTCGGTTTTTTGTACTTCTTCTTGTAATGCCTTTTCTTATTTGAATGAAAGATTTATTTCTTCTCACTTCGGCTCCTTTGATTTCTTGCTTCGTCCCCTATTTTGTCCCCCTTATTTTTGAATAACAAATGTGTGGCACAATCATATTGAAAAATAACAAAGCAGCTGAAGTGATAACTTAGTAAAATTTTCAAGCATAATACGGCCTGAGGTTCTCGGCGTGCCAAGTCCTCGGCACTAGAGAGCCATCTCGGTAGCTCAATTTGCAATACCCACTTAGACTAGATTCCACAACTCGGTAAGGGCCTTCCCATTTCGGGCTCAATTTCCCTTGCGGTTCAGCTCGGCTGACCGAGTTTTTTCTAAGCACCAAGTCTCCTGGCAGGAATCGCCGATGCTTGACGCGGGCATTGTAGTAGTGGGCCAGGGTGTTCTTGTAGGAAGCAATCCGAGCTGAGGCAATGTCCCTTTTCTCGTCAACGAGGTCGAGATCCAACTGTCTCTCTTCTTCGTTCACCTCGACTACATGGGCTGTCAGCCGAGGACTGGGTATAAGGATCTCAGCAGGGATGACAGCCTCAGCTCCGTAGGTCAAGGAGAAGGGGGTCTCTTGCGTGGAGGACCTCGGCGTTGTCCGATATGACCACAGAACACTGGGGAGTTCCTCCACCCAAGACGATCCAGCTCGGTGTAGTCGGGTCTTGAGGCCATGCAAGAGAGTTCGGTTGAAATTTTCCGCCTGACCATTGGCCTGAGGGTGGCCTACCGATGTAAAATGTTGTTTGATGCCGAAGTTCTGGCACCAAGCCTTAAATGGGTTCTCGGCAAACTGCCTTCCATTGTCCGAAATGATGATCTGGGGTATGCCGAAGCGGCAGATAATACATTTCCAAAAGAATTTTTGAATGGCCAGCCCTGTGATGGTCCGTAGAGGCTCGGCTTCAACCCACTTAGTGAAATAATCCACAGCCGTTACCAGGAAGGTATAGCCCCCGACCGCTTTAGGGAAATGACCTATGATATCTGTCCCCCATTGCTCAAACGGTCAGGGTGAGGTGATTGGAACCATGAAATTCGAGGGTTGGTGAAGCTCAGGAGCGTGGACTTGGCAGGATGGGCAGCTGAGAACAAGATTTTGGGCATCTTGTCGAAGGGAAGGCCAGAAATATCCAAGAAGTAAGGTCTTCCTGGCTAACATCCTGTGGCCGACGTGAGCTCCACATAGGCCTTCGTGTATCTCGTGGAGGACTTGGCGTCCCGCCTCGGGTGTAATGCATCTCAGCCATGGACCAAGATATGAGCGTTTATATAGCTCTCCATCGCGGAGCGCGTACCGAGCAGATTTGCGTTGTAATTTCCGTGCCTCGGCTCGGTCCTCGGGGAGGATCCCCTGCCTTAAGAAAAGGATGAACGGGTTCATCCAAGTATCTTCCGAGTGCACGGGGCAGGCCACCTCTTCCATGTATCCCCGCTCGCTCAGCACTTCCACTAAGACGGTCTTGTTGAGATCAGAGAATGAGGTGGAAGCCAGCCGGGATAAGGCGTCAGCCCGCCTATTCTGGGAGCGGGGGATTCTTTGGATCTCGAAAGACTCGAAGTACGCGATGAGTTGGTGGACTTTGGATAGATACCGTTGCATGGTTTCGTCCTTGGCCTCATACTCACCAAGGACTTGGCAGACTACGAGTTGGGAGTCGCTGCGGACGTGGATCCGCTGTGCACCAAGCCTGCGGGCTAGTTGGAGCCCCGCGATCAAGGCCTCATACTCGGCCTCATTGTTGGTGGCCGCGAAGTCAAAGCGGAGGGCGTACGAGCACACTTCTCCCTGGGGGCCCTCCAGGAGCAGTCCTGCTCCACTCCCATCCCCATTAGAGGACCCGTCCACATACAACATCCACAGGTGTGGGGTGGACGCTTCGGCTAGGGCGGAGGTGGACTCCCGACCTTCCGTGAAGGTGAGCTCGGCCAAGAAGTCGGCTAAGGCTTGAGCCTTTATGGCGGTGCGCGGCTCATACGACATGTCGTATTCCCCCAACTCAACGGCCCACTTAGTGAGGCGCCCGGAGGCCTCGGGCCGCACCAGTATCTGTCGGAGTGGTTGGTCGGTCCTGACAGAGATGGGATGAGCTAAGAAATAGGGTTTCAGCCGTCGGGCGGCGTGGACTAGTCCTAGCACAAGTTTTTTCACTTGGGTGTATCGAGTCTCCGGCCCACGGAGAGCTCGGCTGACATAGTAGACTGGCACTTGAGTGCGCTCATCCCGGATGAGCACAGCGCTGACAGCCTCGTCCGCTGCGGAGAGGTAGAGGTACAGCTTCTTCTCGGGCCGAGGTGAAGCGAGGGTGGGTAGGCGGTGCAGGTACTGCTTCAGCTTGTCGAAAGCAGCCTGACACTCCTCAGTCCAGACGAACTGATCGGCCTTCTTAAGCACCTTGAAAAAGGGCAAAGCTTTTTCTGCGGACTGGGATAGGAAGCGGTTCAGTGCAGCCAGACGTCCATTCAGCCTCTGGACTTCTCGGAGGTTCCGAGGTGGGGACATGTCCTGGATGGCCTTGACTTTGTCGGGGTTAGTTTCGATTCCCCGGTGGAAAACCAGATACCCCCAAAATTTTCCTGAGGTGACACCAAAGACACACTTCTTGGGATTTAACTTCATCCTTGAGTCCCGCAGAACGCCGAAGACCTCCTTGACATCTGATAAGAAGGCCGAAGTGGTTAAGCTTTTGACGAGGATATCGTCCACGTAGGCCTCCACATTTCGGCCGATCTGATTTTTGAAAAGGCGGTTGATCAGCCTTTGATAGGTCGCCCCGGCGTTTTTTAACCCGAATGGCATGGTGGTATAGCAGTAGACACCTTGGTCGGTGTAAAATGCCGTTTTTTCTTGGTCTTCCTCACTCATTCCTATTTGGTGATAGCCTTTGAAGGCATCTAGGAAGCAGAGGATCTCATGTCCCATTGCCGAGTCGACGAGGGCGTCGATCCTCGGTAGAGGGTAGCAATCTTTGGGGCATGTCTTGTTAAGGTCGGTGAAATCGACACACATCCTCCATCCACCGGCATCCTTTTTGACCATGACAGGGTTGGAGAGCCAGGTGGGGTACTGGACCTCATGGATCATCTTGGCGGGCAAGAGCTTGTCGACCTCATCCGATATGGCCTTGCTACGTTCGGGGCCGAAGTGCCTTCGTTTCTGTCGCACAGGTCGGGCCTGTGGGTTAATGTTGAGTTGATGAATCATGAGCTCAGGTGGCACTCCGAGCACTTCATCTGCGGACCACGCGAAGACGTCTCGGTGGTCCTTGATCAGGGAGACCATTTCTTCTTTCAGGGGTGAGGGGAGTCCGGCCCCTACTTGGACCACTTGGTCAGGTTTCGCTTCATCCAAGACCACTTGTTCCACCTCATCCCCGGGCTCAAGCCTGTTGGCCTCTCCTGCCTTCTGAGGGTCGATGCAGTCTATGGAGAGGACCGCTGGCCTCTTTTCTTCTGACCTCGAAGAGGGCCGGGGTGTGACTGCTGCTTGAATGGTGGCGAGGTAGTATTCCCGGGCGGTGCCCACGTCGCTGCTCACCTCGGCCACCCCCTCAGGTGTTGGGAATTTAAAGCTCAGGTGGTAGGTGGAATATACGGCTCTCAAGGCGTTGAGCGTGGGCCGGCCTATTAGCATGTTGTACGGAGAGTCTGCTTTGACCACTGCAAAGCTGACAGACACAGTTCGGCAGCGGGGATGACGCCCGATGGTCACCATCAGGGACACCATACCCTCGGGGTGGACCACGTGTCCCCCGAATCCAACGAGGGGAGTCCTGACCGGAGTGAGCTGCTCCCTGGTCAGTTTCAAACTCTCGAAGGTTCGGTAGTACAAGACGTCTACCGAGCTTCCGGGGTCAACATAGACCTTTTTGACTATGTAGTTGTTGGTGAGGACCTCGATCACGAGGGTTTCGTGGTTGCTGGAAGCGGCGGGGACGGGGTCAGTGGGACCATAGGTGATGACCTCGGACAACCGAGAGCTCGGCTCGGCCACCTCCATCCCGGCCTGGCGGTAGGTCCGCTTCCGGGAGTTCTGGCTGTCTCCTCCCGTTGGTCCTCCCGCGATCGTGTTGATCACCCCGGCGATGTTGGGGCCGTAGCCCGGTGATCCGTCGCGTGGAGGCTGCTTGTCCTCCCTACGATCCTCGGGACCTCGACAATGCATGTTCGTGTCCCGCCTGTCCTGTCGGCGGGGGCCCCGGTTCTTCCGGTGGGAGACGCTTCGGTTGAAACCCCCATCCTTGCGGACGAATTGCTTCAGGTATCCTTGCCGGATCAAATTCTCGATCTCTCGCTTCAGATCATTACAGTCTTCAGTCTCGTGCCCAACATCCCGGTGGTATGCACAATACAGGTTCGAGTTCCTCTTATCTCTCCTCCCTGGAATTTCAGGAGGGTTTCGGCCGAGGTGATTTTGCCTCATCACAACCAGGACATGGGTCCGGCTGGAATTGAGAGATGTCAGCTCGGCGTCCGAGGTGGACGACCTTCCTTTTACGATCCGGTCGAAGACACTTCGGCGGTCTCGGAACTGAGTCGACGAGCCACTGGGGCCTTGTTCGACTCGGCCGGCGTCTTTTTTCCTCCGGGAATCTTGCCCGGTACGAGCGGCTTGAGCCTCTCGCTTCATGCGATTTAGATCTTCATTTCGGATTCCCTGATCTACTCGATCCCAGAGTTCTCGAAGTGTGCGGGGGTAATCCCGGTGTATCTCAGTATTGATGATTCCTGCGATCAGCCCATTGGTGAAGGCAGCTATGGTTACCTGCTCATGCTGATCAGGTATCTGCACGTTCTCCTCATTGAACCTCTGCACGTAGGAGCGCAGTGACTCGCCGGGGGCTTGCTGCAGGTTCAAGAGGTAGGCTGAAGTCTTCGTAATTGGGCGAGACGATACAAAGCGGTGAA